TGTTTGCTCCTGATGAGAACATCTGAGTTTTGAGCACAGGGTTAAAGAGCAACTTGTTTTCACTGTATACTCTTTTGTATGATTAGAATCTCATAATACGTTTGTGTATTGTCTACTTAATAAATAAATAAGCTAAAATCATGTATCTTGAATATCTTTCCAAATTAGCATACACAGATACAACTCATCGTTTTCATGGTTTCAAAGTAGCCAGTAACATAGACGTACTGTGATTTCTGTAATCAATTTCTTATGCATGGGTGTTGGGCTTATTCTCAGGCTTTAAGGCTATTATTTTTATCATTTTAAAGTTTAATTTTAGATTTCCAGAGAGAGATACTACCCTCAACAGTGTCTTACCAGGCCACAACCCTCCCCCAGCCTCTGAGCTAACCATTTTCACAGGTGCATGCCCGTCATGCTCCAGTCAACCCAGAATCTGAACCTGGCCTCGTACATGGCCCCAGCATCTCTCCACGGGGCCCCTTTAGGCAGCAAGAGAGACAGATGGAGGGCTGTGTGTGTCTCGATCTCCCTGCCTCCTGCACCCAGTTGGCCTGGTGCTGGATCACCTTGTCCAGTGACAAGAAAGAAGACAGCTCACTGCGGCTACTCTCCATGGTGTCCACTCTCTTGTGAGAAACTCACACATCCCTTTCAAGCTAGACTTGGCTATTTATACCAGGGTTCTGCCCCTCTGCTCAATGGGCTCAGGGCAGATCAACACATGGACTACCCAAGCAGCTGACTGGTTGATAAATGAAATGCCCATCTGCCCTTCTGTCAGGTGTGCTCCGAGCTCCAAGGACATTTCTCAGGCCAGATAGACAGCGGCACAGCAGTAACACGACTGGGTCTACCTGGACAGGTCTGAAGTTTGCACACCAAGCACACGTGTATGTCGCCACAATCCACACTGGCCGACACTGCAGGTGAATCATGGCGTGGGGACCCTGTTGGAGGTGCTCCTCTCTCTCTCCTCTTACGGCAGAAATAAATAAATAAACTAAAAACAAATAAAATATTTCTCTTGGAGCCCTTCTCACTTGGCTTGAGGAAGCAAAGACAAAATCTCTAACACTCCTCACTAGCCAGGAAGCCTGGGAGCGTACGCTCATGGTCATCAAAAATGGTTTCATGTCTTTAAGAAGCCCTAGGAAGGAAGTCTGGCCAGTGATTGGTGACTCTCGATATCAGGTATTTACCCTCTTTGTCCTCAGCTTTAACCCACAAATTCTACTGCAATAAAAATGTCCCACTCAAGAGCCAGCAAGTGGCGTAGTGGTTAAGGCACTGGATTCCACATGGTTAACTCCACGGTTCAAGTCCCAGAACTGGTGGCTTGAAATGCCAGGGGTATGTAGGTGTGCATGCCCAAACTCCCTAGAGGAAATGGAGAAGGGATTGTGGGTGGGGTCATCCTCCCATCCCCCCATGGGGTGACTTCTCACTTTCCTTCTCTTTCTCTGTCTCTTTCTGTCTCTCTCCAGTGAGTGTACATGCCCTATGACAAAAAAAAAAAAAAAAAAACTAAAAAAAAAAGTCCCTCTCAATATACAATTTTTTTTTCTTTTATACAAGTGTTGGTGTACAGCTCAGACTGCCCTTTAGACGTTATTCCATACCAACTGACACAGGTCTGCCTCTTTTGAAAATATTGTTGAAATATTCCATCATATTGATATGTTATTACTAAACTAGTGCCCTTTTGATGAGCATTTAAACTGAGCGCTTATAAATGTTTTATCTCTTTATTTTGCCAGAAAGTGTGTGTGCTGTCCAGAGAAAGAAAGAGCACACGGCCCACCGCAGTGGGCCACGTCACACCTCAATCACTTTCTCCCATTTCTATCTGGTCAGGATTTGGGGACATAGGTACAAGTGCCCAAGCTTCCAGGGCCAGGATTCAAACTGTAGTCATCCATATCCCTAGTATATTGTGCTTAACCGCCTCACTACAGGGCCAGCCCTGAACATTTTATTTTTTTATTTACAAGAGAATTAGCAAGAAAGCAAGCCACTTCAAAGACTGTTTTGGAGAGTGGGTGTATATAGACAAACAGTGATCTCCAGAGAAAAGCTAGACTGGGGATAAGATACAGGAAAGTCTAATTTTCACTGCAGAATGAGTTCACCGCTAGTCTAGCTAAGCCGTGCCGAGCCGTTGCCTATGCAGAGTAGAGCCTAGCTTCAGGGACAGTGCTGGTACTCAGACATGTGAGGGGACTTCAGAAAGCTCGTGGAAAAAGGGAGTCACAGTATGAATTTATTCTGTTGTCCCCAAATTGAAAATCTATATAAAGCTTTCTCATAATATGCATCTCCCATGAACTTTTTGACCCCTCTCTGATACAACCAACTGGTAGAAACATCATGAATAGATTTCAAACATAACTATGCTCAGAGGTCTTCGAAAAGTCCAGCAATGTAAATTCATCTTCCCTCCTGTTTGTGTGTCTATTTTTCTCTTAAGCAAGTCTGTGATTCTGTTGCATTTCCTGTTATGTCATTGCACACACATGCTGTTTCTTCTTGATCCTGGATTTGTGACCCTATGTGCATGCATGTGGTGGCCCCTCTTGTGTGATGCCTGTATTTGTGCTGGGTGTGGGCATTTGGCTCCCCTGTGGAGCAAGATCATTCCTGTCATTGATCTGGATTCCTTATTAGCCCAAGGAGGGACTCAAGGCAGGTTAGGCCAGTGCCCAGCAGAAAAATGTCCTAGCAGGGATGTGAGTTCGCAGTGGAGTTAGAACAGATGGTCTTGGAGGCCCCATTAGGGGCTTACATTGTCCTTGCCCTGAGACCTTGGACTTGGCTCTGTAAAGCAGTGAAGGGAGTACTAGCTTTGGACACACACAGGGGCTTTCATCTTGGGTCCCCACCCCCTCATCCCCGTCCTTGCTAGGAAGCCCTGGCAGAGCAGTCCACGCTGCCTATGGAGTGTACACTCACCTCTGCTCAGTAAACATGTTTTGCCATCTGACTTGTGCTTGAATTCTTTCCTGGGACCATGTCAAGGACCTGAGACACCATCATCCATGGTTCACAGTTGTGACGTGATTTAGCGATGTAGAGGACGTGACAGAAATTGGCCATGAGAGTTTCAGTGGAAAGGGTTGATGGGGAGGTCAGCGTGCAATGGAACTAGGGGAAAAGAGAGGCAAGGGCAGTGCGGGGGGTGGGGGCAGGGGGCGAACAGCAGGTTTCACGAACTGGCGGGCGCAGGAGAGCAGGAAATGGAAGAGGGTGGCAGCGGCACTGGCAGGTTTTAACCGGGGAGAGACATAAACATTGTCACACACTGAGCACACTGAGGGAAAAGGGACGGCAGGAAGCAAAAACCTAGTGGCAGAACTGAGAAGGGGGAGACCCCAAGGGACAGTCATTCTCCTGTCAAACACATGACCCAGGGGCCATAAGGCAGCAGCTCTGGGAGGCCCAAAGAACTCCCTGGGCCTCAGGAAGGCTCCTTGGAGGGACATGCCATGCGGTCTGAGCTAAGGGAGCAGGAGAGGGGAGACGCTGACTCTGTCACTGAGTTTATTCTGCAGGGCAGTGAAGTCATGGGTTGGAAGTCCCAAGCCTTGACCAAATAAGCTGCTGACAGCCTCCCAGCTCTACCCCGCTCTTTGCAGGGACAGAGCTTTCATTGAGCTCCTTCCCTGGGACTCGGGATCTAGGTTTCCCAGTTTAACCTTTTAAGTTTAGTAACCGAGTCTCATAAAAAGCTACTTCCCAGAGCCCATTTTCTTCCTTCTGTCAATCACAAGAGGCCTGAGATTCCACCAACAGGAGAGGGGTGATGTCCATCTTGGCCCTAACCCCTCTTCTCTGGAGATACTCCAGTTTCAATGTAAAAGCAAAGCAGAGTCCTTTAAAGGAAAAGGTTCGTTTAACCTAGCACACGAGAAAAGGTCTGAAGGAGACCTAGGAGTAGAAGCCTGCGAAGGGTCTCCGGGCCCTACGTCTCTGGCCTTGCGTTTCGCAAGACCTAAATGACTCAGATAGCCGAATTATTAGGCTACGTCCACTCACAGTGAAGACAGAGAGAGGGCCATGAACACAGGGTCAAGCAGAGGAAAAGATTAATCTAATCTGTACTTTGAAATCGGGTCGTGTTGGAATTTACACCCACAATTAACTGCTGTTCATGGGTCACCAACTCACGTGCCTTGGAGGTGAAGCGGGTGTCAGGTGTGTCAAAGGCATGGGCCTCCCACGTGGGACCTGTGGCAAAGCTGAGCTGACCCCTGCCCTGTCCATGGCCACAGTAACTATTCGCCCAGGCCTGCCATTAGGTAAATTCGATGGTGACTTGACCTTCAGAGGGAAGTTGCAAATCCAGATTCTTTGGTGAAATTTTCAGATTTTTAACTACTGAGGACTAATTTCATTAAAGTAATTACAAAAATCAACTACCCCTGCACAGGCCAAGCAAAACACCCTGAGAGCAAACTCCATAAGGGATCCTATTTCAATTTCCTTCCTCTAAAAAGATTTCAAAGTCTTCTGTTTCTTGACTGCTTCCGTTTGCATTTTCCAAATCTACTCTATCTTTAAGACGATCAATAAAGAGTTCCTCTAAGAGGCCATGCCTCTTCAGCCCCTATCCAAGGCTGGCCTGTGCAGTTTAAGCTATCCCTGAGGGTGACTTAACTCTGATCTCTGCCAAAAGGCAGACACTCCCCAAAGATCTGAGGTCAACAAAGACATCTTGGCCATAGCTACCAATGACTAAAAGGCAAGAATGCGTTCATAGGCATTGCTAACCGGTGAATTCGACCAGACTGAACTAACTTCGGGGCTGTCCCTTTAAAACTCAAGCATGCTGAGAGGCAAACTCCTCCTCCTCCAGGGAGGTTCCTTATTAAAAGAGAGCCAGCTGGCTGGGCCTACAATAGAACACCCCGGGCCATACCTCTTTAAAAAAAAAGGATTCACCCATGCTATAACATGTGCCAGATGTTTCTGCCTTTTTAAGACTGGATTGGAATAGAACACCCCGGGCCATACCTGCCACTGAGGGATCCCTCCCGGTTGACTGCAAGCCTGTCAGCATGGCTGAAGAGTTTGTGTACCGCCAGATCCAGGGCGGGAAGGTGGTGGTGTTCATGAAACCCACCTGCCCCTACTGCAAAAGAGCCCAGGAACTCCTCAATCAACTGCCCTTCAAACGAGGGTTTCTGGAATTTGTCGATATCACCACCTGGGATGACACGGACTCGATTCAAAATTATTTTCAGGTGCTCACCGGAGCAAAGACGGTGAGTCGGGGGCTGGTCGCGCAGGGCTCGGGGAAGACTGCGGTTGCTTTTTCTTGTCAGGGCTGTGGACCGCGGACATCGCCAGGCTCCCTTCCTCCAGGCCTCCAGAGGGCTTTGCGGGCTGGCAGGGGAGGGAGCCCGAGAGGGGAGCCGGCCCCTCGAGTGGGCAGCTGGGCTGCAGCCCGCGGGTCCGAGCCAGGAGGAGCGCAGCGGCGCCGGCTGCACTCAGGGGCTGTTCGGGCAGCGTGTCTGGAGTCACCAAGGAGTTAGCAGCAGCCTTTGTGTTCAGCTCCGCCGTGAAATGACAGCTTTCAGCTGGCAGGGCTGGGGGTGGGAGCGGGGTGGAGGGGCCGGGAGGCCGTGGTTCTGCTTCCCCACATGGGAATCCTGTGCCCTCTGTCTTCGGTCTTCTGTCTTCACGTGGCGGAGCGCTGCCCTGCCGTCCCTTCTCGGCAGGCTTTCTCCGGCCAGAGCTCAGGATTTGCTGATTTTTTCCTTGTCTAACTCCTCCGCTGGAAAAATCTAAGGGCCCAGAATTTCTACAGCAATTACAAGATGTTTCCAGGCCCGTCATAGTGGGGTGTCGGTAGGCCAGAGTAATAGCTTGGCCCCCACAGTGGCTTGCTGTGTCACGCGAGCAGATCGCCGCCTCGCCTTGGTGATCTGCAAGGACCCCAGCTGCCAGTGCAGGTTAGAGAAGGAGCCGCCTCTCCTCTGCTGCAGGTCCACTGTGGGGCCCTCTGGGAGGCTGTGCTCTCCAGCTGCAGAGGGCTCTTGGGAGATACTCAGGCAACCATGTCACCTCATCGGGCCTGGTGCCTGGTGGGCTGAGCAGGGTCCTGGCAGGTCACTTAGTTCCCTTTCAGGATGCACTTTGGTAGTGCCGGCAGACCCTCAGACACAGTCTCGGTGTTCATATGATTTACGCTGGCCTCTGAGTGTAAAGCGTGGGAGGTCATTTCCCCTTTCTCTCCAACCAGAAGTCAGCATTTTGGGGCAGAGCGCGGCTGGCTGTGTAACCCCGTTGCTGTGAGGTCCAGGAGCAGACCCAGTGACCAGAAAGCCTCTAGCTGCTGCTTAGAAGGACCTCAAGCTGCCAAGGTCCAGAGTGATGGGGAGAACCATGATAAGTCACCTCAAAATGTGCCTCTTTAGCATATTTCAAGATAACTATTCAGAGGGGCTGAATGAGCTGGGTTTTTTTTTTGGGGGGGGGGAGAAGTTTTTGCTATAGGGTGTGGGCGCTCACCAGAAAGACAGAGAGAGAGAGAGAGACAAAAAGCAAGAAATCACCCCCCGGCAGGGGGGGATGGCCACGCTGCAATCCCTTCTCCTTTCTCCTCTCAGGATTTTGGGCACGCTCGCACACATGCCTGGTGTGAGATTAAGCCACCAGCTCTGGGACTCGAACCATGATCGACTACATGGGAATCCAACAACATAGCCATTACACTAACTGCTGGTCCCAATGAGCTATTTTTTAAAGGGGTAGGGAATTAGCTTTTTGTTAAAGAAGTTAACCTTTTGTGAAAGAAATGCACATCTATTTACATTAGTAAAGTAGGCAGCAGATGCAGGGGCCTTTTGATGAGCTCCCTGTTACCTACCTAGCTGTGGGTAGGCAAAAAGGGAATTAGAGGTCTGGCACCTGACCAGAAAAGCAAGACAATCATTTGCATTTTCCCCCCTCGCTGTTTCTTATTGCTACTCCAAGCTTTGGTTTTTGTTTGTTATAAAATCTTTAGCTACCTGGCCCTCCTGTGGGTCTACATGGCATGTTTTAATTATTGTAGTTTTTTCCCCTTGTTCATCCTGTTGTCAGTTTATTTCATAGGCTAAAGACCATTGAAAAGAGGGAAAAGAGAAAGCTTCCTACAGAGGGAAGCGACAGCACAAATTCTCCTACGGGCCTCACGTGGCCTCTAGCAGGATCCCTCTCAGCCAGTGGTTCCCAAGCTTTGCTGCACATTATAATCACCTGGAGCTCATCTTGTCTCTACTCGGTGAAACCAATTCTCATACCCAAGCTGCCCCCTATACCAGTTAGATCACGGTGTCAGAGGTGGGAGCCTGGCGTCAGTAGATTGAAAGATTCCCGGGTGGTTCCAATTTGCAATAAAGTTTGGAACTGCTGTGAACAGACAGTATCTGTACGCTAGCAGGAAAAGCAAACTTGATCATGCATTCACATAACAGTTTTCAAGCATTTCTTTGTGAAGCAACACTATCTTCTTGTAGTGTTATTTTCTTTAAAAAACAAAAACGATTGGCATAGGGCACGTGCACTCACTTGAGAGAGAGACAGAGAGAGACCTGGCAGGATGACCATGTAGCAATTCCCTTTCTGTTCTCCTCTTGGGATTCTGGGTACGCACACACATACACTGGCATGTCTTTCAAGCCTCTGGGTCCAGGACTTGAACCACTCAGTTGGCAATGTGGAATCCAGCAGCATTAGTGTCTGTGCCACTTGGAGTAGTCTTTTAGGTTTGTTAGCCCCTTGGAGTGGTCTTTTAAGTTTGCTTTAATTTTTTAAAAATTTTACCAGAGGGCATGTGTACTTGCAGGAGAGAGACAGAGCAAGCGAGAAAGCACCCTGCGTGAGGAATGATCACATTGCAATCCCTTCTCTGTCTCTCCTTCCTTTCAGGATTTTGAGCACCCCCGCCCCCCGACACACACACACACACGCAGCCGTGCCCAGTGTGTTTCTCAAGCTGCCAGGTCTGAGATTCAAACCACACAGTTGACCATGTGGGATCCAGTCATCCTAACTACTATGCCACAGGTTGGCCTGAATTTTTAAAAATATTTTTCACAGATTCTTGAGTCCTGAGTGCATTCCTGTAAGGGGAAGAACAAATTCTTTAAGGTGGTATGTGTTATGGTCTCACTGAAGTGTTTTTATCCAAAGAGATTGAAAACTTGAGAGTGGTTGCTGTCTTCTCTCTCTCTCTCTTAAAGTTTTTTTTTGCCATTGGGTATGTGTGCATGCTGGAGAGAGACAGAGATGGTGAGAAGGAAAGTGAGAAATCACCTCCCAGGGGGATGGCCATGTCTCAGTCCCTTCTCCTTCATTCTCCTCCTGGGACTTTGGGTATGAATGCTTACACACCTGGCATGAGTTTCAAGCCACTGGGTCTGGGACTGGAACCATGGCCGGGCATGTGGGAGTCCTGCACTTTAACCACCATGACAAGAGTGCTTGCTGTCTTAACGGCCCTGTAATACTGTGGAACTACACGTAGTTAGCAGGAACTCAGCAGGGTTCAAATGACTTCGGAAACAGGCCTTCAATCAGGTCACATACGTGGAAAAGCCAGGTCTGGTTTTGTGCTGGCCATGGTTCTCGGTCACCGGCTCCCTCGTCATTCTCTGGCGCTCTTCTTTCCGATGTGTAGAGCTGAGATTTTGACCTATATCTTTTTCCTTCCCCCGAAGAACTTTTTCAACATTTCTGGCAAGGCAGTACTAAGAGCACCAATCCCCTGCTATTTTTGTCTGGCTAAGACCGTCTTTCATCCTCTATATTCGAACGATGGTTTTTACCGGGTAGAACAAATATTAAGTACCTACAGGGTATCACTCACTTTTCTGGACACTGGGAACGCAGTCATAAAAAAGCAAACAAAAACTCCTCCATGCCAGTGGGGGAGACAAGCCATCAAACAACGGTATGCTGAAGGTGACAAGTGACACGTGCTATAAAGAAAAATGAAGTAGGGAAGGGAAGCAGAGAGGAGGAAGTAGGGACGTTTTAAATGAAGCCCTTGGAGGCTCACCGAAAAGGGAATGTTTGAGTAGGTCTCTGCTCAAATATTGGTAGGGCGAAAGGCTTCGAGAGATTTAGGGTGGAGCGGTGTCGGCAATGGGAACGAACGCAGGTGCAAAGGCCCTGTGATAGACATGTGCCTGGCAGGGTCCTGGAGTGGCGAGGCCAGGAGTGCTGGAGCATTTGAGCTAGTAATGAGAGATGAGACAGGGGGCCTGGGAGCATGGGTAGGAAGGACTTTCAAGCTGTCGCGAGGACTCTGGCTTGCCCTGCCATCACAGAAGCTGCCACTCGGTTTTGAGCAGAGACATCATCAGTTTGGTCTTATTCATTCTTTCTTTCTTTCCTTCTTTCTGTTCTTCCTTCCTTCCTTCCTTCTTTCTTTCTTGTTTTCTTTCTTTCTCTTACTTTTTATGCCAGAAGTGCATGAATGAGCCAGAGAGAAAGAAAAGGAAGAGAAAGCCCCCTGCCCCGGGATTGGTCACCCCCATTCTCCTCCATCTGCCCATCCCATCACTGTTTGGGCCACGCTCACACACAGGTGGCATGTTTCTCAGGCCACTGAGGCTGGATTGGAACCGCATGGTCAGCTATGTGAGCTCCTTAAACACACCCCTAACCACTAGGGGTGGGGCCAGCCCTTCCTCAGTTTTGAGAGGGTTTGTACTGGATCTGGAGAAGTCTGTCGGAGGGCTGGGAGAAGGGTTGAAGCTGGGGCATTTGGAAATTTGGGATAACAATAATTCTGGTAATGCAGTGGCTTGTGCCTGAGAGGTGCCGAGGAAGTGGCAAAGCGCGTTAGGAAATAGCTCTGGTGGTTGCATCAGAGGAACCCGATAAGCAGAAACTCCTACCTAGCAGAGGTGGGGACAGCTGCCCTGGGCAGGAAGGGCCCCAATATTACCAAGCTCACTTTCCTGGTGGCAATTTTCTTTCCTCTCTTTGACAGTATTGACGCTAGTTCCTGCAAGGAGGGACGCCTGGAGGGAGCTGCACAGGGTGTTTCCTCTTCTTTCTTCAGCTGAATCAACAGTGCTTGCTCTGGGCTTCCTGTGTCATCACCACAGGCCCCCCACGCTATCCTGTGCGCTTTGGGGGGCCGCTAACTAGGAGACTAAAGGCAGTTTGGTGTGGGTGGGAACGGAGGGTGTGCAGGAGGGCAAAGATGCCTTCAGGCTCTCAGGCAAATCTAGCTTCTTTACCGGGTGGTGTGTACAAAACACCACCCTGGGGACAGCCCGAATGCTTTTCAGGCCTGACTCAGGCAGCTGGGGGGGGCAGTTCCAGGGCTCTGAGTTTCCAAAGCCTCAGCCAGCCTGGGTGAATAAATGGCTGACAGTGTAAACCAATGGTTTGCAAGTGTGACCTTTGGAGTGACAGAGCAGTATGACATGCAGATGCTTGGGCTCCTACCCAGACCTCCTAAGTCAAAAGTGAGAGGTGGATGGAGTAAGACATGTGACTTACAAGCTTTCCATGAGTCATGCTCGATCAAGTTGGAAATCTCCATCTAAGGGGAGGATCCGCTTTCAGGGAGTGCTCCTCTACTATGCTGACTTGAACCCTGAGGACCATACCCTGGTCTAGGTAAAGATGGGGCAAGCTGTAGGTGCACAGTGAGGCTTGCTCATTTTTTTTTTTAAAGTGCAAGAATGAGTGTGTTGCTTCTGTGTTTCAAGCTCAAATGGGTTTTGTCATTGAATTCAGTAATGATTTCACAGGGGATATGCAGTTGAATGACATTAGAACAACATGAGGATTCTGATCTGTTTACTGTTACAGCTGGCCACAGTCAAGTGGAATGAGGAGATAGAAGCTGAAAGGCCCCAACCAATTGGGTGTGAGGACTTCAGTTTCTCTAAAACTATGGCCAGGATCCAGGGGAAAATTGAGATTTCTCGCCTTATCTTTCTGCAGCTGTTCTTCCACTGGAAAAAACAATGCTTCTTTAAGACAGCAGTGCAGTGCTCAAATGCAATGCTCTGTAGGCTGATTCACGAGAGTAGGTTCTAGGGTTGCATCTGGAGACCTCCCTGAATACATAGGCATGTGCCCATGATCTGGGTTGGCTGAAACTCAGGGTAGATTATGAAGTTAAGACCCTAGGTTTTGAGCAGAGGAGTGATCAATAGAGTCATACCGTGTCTACTGTGTCTCTGTCTCATTCTCACCTATAGAAAAAAAATCTTTAAAAACAATATTGCATCATTGGCACTTCCATTTGCAAAGTCTCCCACTGTGGTGGAGCAGAAGGCATCTTCTGTGACGTGATGGGACATTACGAGGACACTCAACCTGAACAGACTCCCATGGGTTCTTCCTCAGACTCAGGAAATAGCTGTGGAAATGTGCATGATTTCTTTTTAAAATTTTTTTGAATTATTTGTTTAGTTTTATTTATTGTTAGTTTTTAATTTGCTATAGGGCACATGTACTCACCAAAAAGACAGAAAAAGTGAGAAAGTGAGAAAGCTAGCCACCAGGTCCAGAACTCAAATCGTGATGGCAGCACCCTACCCACCACGCCATGTGCAGGCCCTCTTTTTCATTAACCTTATGTTTAAAGCCACTTCCACCAGGACTCCCCTTCTTAAAAAAAATACTGTAAGAACTTATCTGTAGTCATTCTGCCCCTTTTGTCACTTCAAATTGAATTTCTGTGCCTTCCAAGGAATATCAAAAGCTTTAGGACCAGCAGTTAGCATAATGGCTATGTCGCTGAACTCCCATGTAGTCGACCGCAGTTCAAGTCCCGGACCTGGTGGCTTAAATGCATGCCAGGTGCGTGTGTGTGTGTGCCCAAGATCCCAAGAGGAGAATGGAGGAGAAGGAATTGCAGCATGGCCATCCCCCCTGGGAGGTGATTTCTCGCTTTCTGTCTCTATGTCTCTCTCTGTCTTTCTGGTGAGTGCACGCGCCCTATAGCAAAAAACCTCTCAAAAAAAAAAAAAAAAAAAAAAGCTTTAACACACATTCTTACTGCTTTCTGCCTCTCAGCTCTCTCATTCCTTCTGGTGCTTTCTAGTGTTGGGAGAGGCCTGCTTGCTTCCGACCACTCAGTGACCTAGGTAGCACTTGTTCCCTGCCTGCCAAGGAGGCCTGGAAACTGCCTGGGCCACAGTGATGGGACTTCCTCCTCCAGGACTCCAAACTCTCTGGAATCCGACTGGGCCTGTGTGTAGCGGTAGGGAGGGCGTGTGAGAGGGCGCAGAAGAGCCCGTGCACAGGTACGTTACGTAACTATTAGTCTGGCTTGCCTGCTGATCGCAGAGATCCCAGAACCGCAGCATTTAAACATCTTACAATGGGCCAGGGAGTAGAGAAGGAAATTCAGACACCACTCCACTCCCCGGTTGAGAACAGGCCTCGCTTGTATTCAACAACAGAGCAAGAAAACTTTATTTAATAACCGTGAACCACAAAATCAAGGACAGAGACCGAATGCAAATACCTTTCCAGCTGTATTGAAAATGAACTCTCTCCTAATTGCTTGGCTTAAAGTCTCAGGTGTGGTCCCAGCTACGGAATAACCAGAATTCCCTTAGGGTGGTCTGGCAGTAGCCAAGCGAAATGCTCTCCCCGAAGTGTGCTTTGCTAGAGTGAATGTTTAAATCCCCTTGACAAGCTGGTCAGCTTCATGCTTAGCACATGTAGCTTGAAAAAGATTCTGGCTCAAAACATTCTTTAATTAATCCTTTCATTCTCTTAACAGGGTTTAGGAAAGTTCTATCCTCTAAGAACATGCATGAGGAGTTTGTAAAGTGATTTGAACAGTTTGGAATCACCGGAAATATTTAGGGGAAGGATAAAACTATTATCCTTTCTAGTCTGGTATTTAAGTGCCTCTAACATCCGGGTCTTTTGCTTTTGTCCTAGGTGCCTCGCATCTTTTTCGGTAAAGACTGCATAGGTGGCTACACGGATCTAGTCACTTTGCAGCAGAAAGGAGAGCTGCTGCCCCGTCTCAAGCAGATGGGAGCCCTGCAGTAATTACAGGTGAGCGGCAGGTGAGACGCAGGTTGGGAACTCTGGAGTCAGTGGAATTTTATTGCCATGTTTTATTATACTGTGGGAGGGCATG